TGATTCCTGGCACTACATATGGGTCCCTGAGCACTGTCAGGAATGATCCCTTAGCACAAATCAGGTGTGATCTCTGAACACAGCTGGATATGGTCCAGCTGCTTCCTTTTTCAAGAGGAGTGGAAAGGGGAGGAGAGGGGAGGGGAGGGGAGGGGAGGGGAGGGGAGGGGAGGGGGGGAGGGAAGGGGTGGACAGGGAAGGGGTGGAGAGGGGAGAAAAGATGACCTCTTTTTCTAAGCTTCTCCTTATTAGATTTGATGGATGAATGTTAATGCATAGTTGGACTGACTAAAATTTCAGCATTACCTGGATAATCACCATTCCATATTTAACAGCTGGAAATTTGCCAACAAATGAGTCATTTAAAAAATAAGAAAAGTGAGATATAAAAAAATGGAATTTTATCAAACTAAATTTTTTTAAAATTTATTTATTTATTGAATCACCATGGGAAAGGTTACAAAGCTTTCAGGTTTAGGTCTCAGTCATGCAAATATCAAGCACATTTCCCTTTACCAAAACTTATTTTTTACCATGAAGAACCCCAATAAAACCCCACCCCTCACCCCTCCCAGTCCCTGTGGGGCAGATGAATTCTAGTTAACACTCTATCTGCTTTGATTAGATTCATTGTTTCAATAAAAGATTCACCACTATTATTTAGAGTTTACCAACCCCCCCAAATCAGACATGCTGACAAAGCATTGTGAAGTGATTTGCTGTCTACAGCTGGGTTCAAGAATTATATGTTGGTTTTGGATTTCTGCTATTTTACTTATTGACCCTGGAAGTATTTCTACTGAAAGTCAGATAGTTAAGAAATTGGTTTCTGTGCTCTGGAGTCGTGCCGTGCTGGAGAGCTGCTAGTGGGGGGCAACTGGTGGCCTCGGTAGGGCGTGAAGGGCGGACCGAAACGCCCCCCTTCCCATGAGGTTTTAGTCGCCCCCAGTCCCCCGGCTCATACCTGCTGTCCACAAGGCTCCCATGCGGCCGCCATCTTTCTTTCCAGAGAGAAGGCAACTGGGGCAACACCCTTTCCCCTCCGGACAGACCTGATGGCCTGGATTAATGCAGAGTCCGTTCACTTTTCTGCTCCAAGCTGCTGGGTTCTGCATTAAGTCCTTGTGCTTCTGGGGCCGTGGCCATGCTGGAGAGCCGCTCGCGGGGGGCAACTGGTGACCTCGGTAGGGCGTGAAGGACGGACCAGAACGCCCCCCTTCCCATGAGGTTTTAGTCGCCCCCACACCCCCGGCTCATACCTGCTGTCCACAAGGCTCCCATGTGGCCGCCATCTTTCTTTCCAGAGGGAGGAGGGCGGAAGGGACCAACACCCTTTCCCCTCCGGGCAGACATGATGGCCTGGATTAACGCATAGTCCTTTCACTTTTCTGCTCCAAGCTTCTGGGTTCTGCATTAAGTCCTTGTGCTTCTGGGGCTGTGGCCGTGCTGGAGAGCTGCTCATGGGGGGCAACTGGTGACCTCGTTAGGGCGTGAAGGGTGGACCGAAACGCCCCCCTTCCCATGAGGTTTTAGTCGCCCCCAGTCCCCCGGCTCATACCTGCTGTCCACAAGGCTCCCATGCGGCCGCCATCTTTCTTTCCAGAGAGGAGAAGGCGACTGGGGCAACATCCTTTCCCCTCCGGACAGACCTGATGGCCTGGATTAACACAGAGCCCGTTCATTTTTCTGCTCCAAGCTGTCGGGTTCTGCATTAAGTCCTTGTGCTTCTGGGGCCGTGGCCGTGCTGGAGAGCCGCTCGCGGGGGGCAACTGGTGACCTTGTTAGGGCATAAAGGACGGACCGGAACGTCCCCCTTCCCATGAGGTTTTAGTCGCCCCCTCTCCCCCGGCTCATACCTGCTGTCCACAAGGCTCCCATGCAGCTGCCATCCTTCTTTCCAGAGAAGAGAGGGCGAATGGGGCAACACCCTTTCTCCTCCGGCAGACTTGATGGCCTGGATTAACGCATGGTCCATTCACTTTTCTGCTCCAAGCTGCTGGGTTCTGCATTAAGTCCTTGTGCTTCTGGGGCTGTGGCTGTGCTGGAGAGCCGCTCGCGGGGGGCAACTGGTGACCTCGTTAGGGCGTGAAGGATGGACCGGAATGCCCCCTTTCCCATGAGGTTTTAGTCGCCCCCACACCCCCGGCTCATACCTGCTGTCCACAAGGCTCCCATGTGGCCGCCATCTTTCTTTCCAGAGAGGAGAGGGCGAATAGGGCAATACCCTTTCCCCTCCGGACAGTCATGATGGCCTGGATTAACACATAGCCCGTTCACTTTTCTGCTCCAAGCTGCTGGGTTATGCATTAAGTCCTTGTGTTTCTGGGGCTGTGGCCGTGCTCCAAACTTAACTATGATTTTCAGAGAGAAACGTTGGGTCAATTACTTCCCATGGATCACTTTGTATATAGAGAGATGTCACGCGGCAGCGTGGTTTGAGGAAAAGTCCTAGTTCCCGCATACTCGAGCTGTGGTTGTAGAGGCTTCTGGTCACCGGGGTTCCATCTGGGGGAGGCGGGATGTGGTACCTACCCCATCTGGGGCGTCCCGATGATCTCGGCTCTTTTTGGAACCTGTTTTTTTTTGTTTGTTTGTTTTTTTCTTCGGGATCTGTGGATCCCGCCCTCCATGTTGTTCTTCTCTTCAGCTGAATGCTTCAAACTAAATTTTAGTCAAGATTATTTACAATCAAAATAGCTCAGATTGTTCTTCTATGAAAATCATAGTCATGCTGTTCAGCGGTCTAAAGTTAATTTGATGGATGAAGGGACAGCTAGAAAGACTTGATTTTAAAAAGTATAATAAAATATACTTAATGATAAGATCTCTATTAGAAATAAATTAATTTGCACTGTAAGGGTGTTTTAAATTGTTGATGTTGTTTTGTTTGTTGGGCATACCCGGTGATGCTTAGGGTTATTTATACCCTCTGCTCTGGGGTCAATTACTGTGGTACCTCAGGGGACAATTTATACTCTCCTCTGTCCTCACTCCACTCCCTTTTCCAACAAAGCTACTGTGTGTGTGTGTGTGTGTGTGTGTGTGTGTGTGTGTGTGTGTGTACACTACTAAAGTAACATCTCTGAATTTGGAGGTGGGGTGTATTGGAAAAATTAAAAGAACTTAATTTTTCCCTCTTCAGTCTTTGAGCAATTCCTGAACTCTGCATATAACATCTTTCTGTCTTGGATTAATAACACAGTTGGGTTTTAAATATTTTTCTTCCAAAGTAAAGACTGCATTCAGATTCGTTAATTTTCATTTTTGTCAAAAGTGAATATTGAATATTTATAAAGCTGAATATCCCTGTCTCTTCATTGTCATACTGGGTTCCTTTTGAATATAGATCACAGAAGATAGGACATGAAAAATGAATTAAATCAGAATTCTGACACCATTGGGAAGTTCTGCTTGTTAAGAACCCTCTATTCTCTTCCATGCTTTCTTACTCAGGTACTTTTTAGCTTCTGGGCAGCAAGCTTTTACTGACATTTATTTTACACTTTACAGGTGAGAAAGTTTCTATACAGATACTCAAATCTTCTGTTATAGAGTGAAATTATCTTCAATTTATAAAATAAGGAACATTACAGTAAAATATCAAACTTTATTGACGAAGGGGTAAGAGACATCATACAGGGGTTAGGGTGCATGGCTTGCATGCACTATGAGTAATCCCTGAGCACAGAGCCAGGAGTAGCTTCTGAGCACAATGGGGTGTGCCCACAAGCAAAAATGTGGCCCAAATTTGTTCTGGAGTCATAGTTTTGCAAACTCTGCTAGTCTTTCCATTGATTTTGTTTTCTATTTGCCACTCTCCAAGTCACTTTCTTTCTAAAGGGTATTTCATGTGGCATTCTGAACTTCTTCAAACACGTTATTTGGGAAAAAATATCAGGACTTTGGAATTTAGATCTGTACACACTATTGAATTCTCTAGTTAGATTACTGAGTCATACGTAAAATGGCATTTTGAGAGGACATTGAGGGAACGTTTGAAGTTCTAGGATAGCAAGATATTAAGAATGTTTATAGCATAGGAGTGAAAAAAAAACATGAGTAATTTCACAGAGCACATGCTAGCAGCTGACAGTGACTATCCCACACATATCACATAAATTTTACATGCTCTGCTTCTTTAACCCCAGAGATAGGTAGGTATTACTATTTGCATCATTTCACAGGTAGAGAATATGCATCCTAGAGACATAAGAAGTATACCATGACCTCACGGTCCCAGATCAGAGTTGGGTCAAAGTTCAAGTATACCTGACTACAAAGAAAACAACTAGAATAAGAAGAGAATGAGATGAATCATAAAGAATACATTATTTGGGGGAGGAGGTGGCAATTAGGAATTAATTATGATCAGCCCATCATTTGCTTCTTCTTGAGCTAAGTACACCTGACAGTCCATACCGACAATTTCAGCAGAATTCGTAATCCAAATGCCGAGCTGAGTTTTCACAGAGTGTGACTACAAAGAGCCAAGATAACTTTCTGAGATCCTAGAAAGATCTCAGGAAATCTCTAAAGGCATGATTCATTTCTTGGGCAAATCCATCCTATCTTTGGATTTTACCAGAAATAAACACATCTGGAATTTCTTATAACATCTGTGATATTTTGAAGAACAATAGCAAAGGAATTATTGCTTCTGAATAAAACATGTTCAGGTAGTGGAAAATCCCTTCATAATAAAATCCCCAGCACAGAGGAAAAGGAAACTATGAAATCATCTTACAGTTCTCAATTGCATGCAATGATAATTGACCATTCAAGATAAATCCTTTATATTTAAAAAAATGATAAACAAAAGCAGTATATTTGCATTCAGGATATCCAACAAGTACTTAATCTTTAGCCAAGACCTCACAAAGCTTCCTTTCCCAGTGATTTTCTTTGATTATTAATTTGAATTCTTCTGCATCTATGCTAGAGCCACATGTCAGGAAAAAAGAAAACAAAACAAAAACCTTAGTTTCACACTATGTACTTACATGGGAACCCCAGAATCATATGTTTCCAATGTTAGTATAGAGGCAAAGAGCTTCACGGGCTTTTAAGCAGACATACACTATTCTACAATCACGTGACAGTGTCTAAGGTCAGCTGCCTTTGCCAAGGGAGTGTGTCAGCACCAACGGATAGACTGGGTTATTCTAAGTTTGTCATTATATGCAGTGCCAGATCTCTAACTGGAGTTGGACATTGCAAAGCGAGTGCCTTATTTTTGTAATATCTCCAGGTTTTATACTAGTACATTTAAAAAATCCACTTGAACTAAAATCCATATTACCTACATATCAATGCTATAGAGGAATCAGGCAGTTTAACAAATGATATTTTTTAAAATTTTGGTTTGTATATTGGCTTACTTAACAAAATTCAATTTTTTAATTTATTGTTGGAATCTGCCTTTCTTTTAGCTTTGTTGTGAGAATATAAATGGACAACTCACAAGATCCTATGATAGATAATTGATGAATCTTGTGATTTGCGGTAAAGATTTTGGGTTTTAAGGGAGTCCATTTTCAATTTCCAATGCTTGTCGATTTGATTCTAATCCTTTGAATTAGATTTTATCCTCTAATGTCGATTATTTTAATCCTAAATAATCATGTTATGTGCAATAATTTTAGTTAACATGCATACTACATACTTCTAATCCTACCCTCATCACTCTCCTCTCATTCTTTGTCTTTCTCTGTCTCTCTGTCTCTTTGTCTCTCTAATGAACTTACTTGCTTATGATCTTCCTGGAAATCATCCAGAACAAATTTTCATTAGCATGTTTTGGGAATTCATTTGCAAATGCACTTATGCATCAAGATGTCCAATTACAAAACAAGTAGAGCCACATTGCATATACACAGAAACAGAATGGTTGAGGAATTAAAGATTGAGGAAAGGTTGACCAGACACTCCCTTCATCAGAATAAAGTGTGATGTTCATAAAATAGAAGAAGAATGAAATGTAGGACCAAACCAATAATGATTCTGAGCAGTATTCGCTAGATGTGGAGGTGAGACCCTACAATTTATAATAGTCTTTAAAGATTTGACTCCAGTATTATGGTACATATTATAAATGTAAATGCTTAGATTAATATATTTATATATCATCTTTGGGGCTGGAGAGATAGCACAGCAGGAAGGAAGCTTGCTTTGTATGCATCTACCCTGGTTTCATCCCAGAATATTCCAATATTCCATATATTTTCCTAAGAACCACCATAAGTAATTCCTGGGCTCAGAGTCAGGAGTAATCCTTGAGAATCTCTGGATGGGCCTTCCAATATCTATATCTATGTGGACATATATGATTTATATATATATAGTCTATATAATCTTTATCAGACCATTTTCTTGAGAGTTGGATTTAACTCTGATTTAGCACTGAATATTTCAAATCCTAATTATGATACTAGTTTAGCTTTTTTAAAAACAATGGCAAAAATACCCTTGATTTAAGCAAGAAGAAGGATTCTGTTCCTCCCTTGCTACTCTTGACAGTTCAGTTATGAACAGTCCTGAGCTGATATGGCAATTCCACCAGATTTCAAATCTAGACCTGTGTTGTGTGTCCTTTTTTGTTTGTTTATTTGTTTGTTTAGTTCAGTTTGCTCAGTTTGAGGCCACACCCGGCAGTGCTTAGGTGCTACTCTTGAGTCACTGCTAGAAGGTCCTTCCTGGTGATGCTGGCCTCCTGCATGCAAAGTAGATACTCAGCCTATTTAACTCTCTCTACTCTCTCTCTCTCTCTCTCTCTCTCTCTCTGACCCAAGATTCCTTTGCATTTTATCTCATCTCTCTTCTCCATGTAAATTTCCTCTTATGGTCTAAGGCCCTCCTCTCCATCTGTTCCATCTTCTGCTGCCATTTCTGCATTTTTGGTCCCCAGGAAGAGAAGAGTCAATTTTTTTTGTTTGTTTTAAGGAATGTATCCAAATCATTCATTTCCTTTTCATTTGTGTTCTAGTCACAGAGCCACCTCTATATTTCAGAAAGATCGGAAAATTATATTTTAGACTGGCAAGAAAATGAGTATTTTTCTCGTTTCCTTATGTTTTTTGTTTGTTTGGAGGCTACACCCAGCAGTACTCAGCAGTTACTCCCAGCTCTGCTCTCAGGAATCATTTCTCGCATTGCTTAGGGGACCATTTGGGATGCTGAGTATTGAACCCCGGTTAGCTCCATGTAAGAAGACACCTTACTCACTGTATTATAGTTAGGCCCTAAGAAAGTGAACATTGATTGAGTCTCTTGAAGTCTCCACGATAGCTATTTTTTAAGATCATTGTTTTATGTGAAGTGTAATGCCAAAAACATATAAACTTCTCAAGGCGGAAAGAATTTTTTGAAACAGAAATGCTTATAGTTCCAAAATAAAAGTCCTTAAAGACAGTTCAGTAAACTTTAATAATGTACCTATGATTTGTATAGAAACTTTCTTTTTCGAAATAACATATGCATTGAATTTTACCCCTTTGTCATAATCCTGCAATTTGCACATCTAAAAATTTAGAGATAATCGTAGAAGTATATAGGGCCACTTAGTTGCTTATAAATTTAAAAATTCAATGAGAAGAAATATAAACTTTAGTTTTTTCCATACTATTAATGTCCTCAAACTAAGGCATTCAATGATCTTCAAATGCTTTTCCAAATGATCTTGAATACGCGACTTAAAAATTATTACTTTAAGCAGTCTAAGTAATAGAATATCAACTGTTTTATTAAATTACATTTTAGCGGGATCAGTATTTATAAGCTGTAGAATTGAACCAATAGAAATGACACATATCTCTATAATTATTAAATAGGAGTCAATATATTTTAATAAAAAGATGACTGTCATTTGGCTACCTGTGGGTTTATCTTGTTTAGTGATAAGAAAATGTTTGCATGAATACTGAAGTAATCTTTTTGTTACCTGCAGCAGAGTTAGAGGATTAAGTGGTACAATTTTACTTCAGGCATGTGAAAGGTACTGCATAAAGACAACAGAGACCAATGAGGATGGTGTCATTGATGGGCCCAGAGCAGACAGAGAGGCCTCTGGGATAGTGGTTACCCCCCTCTTCCCATCCAGCAGAGAACTGGGAGTCATTCAAGCTTTTAAATTGCTGAGGAATTTCTACCAGCCAGAAGCCGTTGTTGCACAAAAATGAGGGTATTAAGCTAATTTCTTTCTTAGAATTCCAGCAAAAGTCTGACTATTTATAGAAAGTGGAGGCTGTCTTTTGAGCTCAGAAATCTGATACTTACACAAATAAAAGGGTACTTTTGTCAGGGATACGATGGTGGTACAATTAATAAGATTTTGGTGGAGTAAAAAGAAAGAATTATTCTAATTTTCAGGAAAGGAAAAGCATATTATTTTGAAATGTTCAGGCCTTCACTTTATACTTACTGATTGTCCATGCTGTGCCTACATTACAATAGGCATTAGACTAGATAGCTATAAACTCGAAGGTATTTTCTTATTTCAGCTGATAATTCTTGATAGTGCATTTACTTGTGAACTTTCTCCTCTGAAGACTCTGTGTGTGTGTGTGTGTGTGTGTGTGTGTGTCTGTAGTGCATATTTCGCAATAGAGAAATATGAATGATTCCCTTGTTAAGGATGTTACAACTTATTTTTTTACAATTTACCACATTTAATTTTTTAAGTAAGTAAAACATGATTTTTATATCATACATATAGAGATATACATGTGTATAAATACAATTACTTATGGAAAATAGAACTGATATGTCTGACAAACAACTTGAGTGCCTTTCAATCCACAGTCACACTTGCCTATCTCTGCCAGACATCAAAGCTGAATCGATCCTTCTTTGGGCTGAACATCATTGTTCTCCCAAGCTATTGTGCAGCTATCTGAGAAGGCTCTTTGAGACAAGGGTGAAAGGCATCTTGGGATTTGAAAAGGTTATTGTATGTTATGGTGTTGCTTTTCTTTCATCCTGACCCATGTTTGTGATTTCTTTAAAGACATCTATACAGTTGTACATACAAATGTATGCGTTTTATATAATATATATGTATATATATATATGTGTATATATATATGACTTGTTTTGTGTTTTGCTTTTAGGGGTAAAAGTTATTTACAACCTCAAAATTATTGGTTGTCAAAAATCTTTAGCATCAAACATTGAAAACAAACTAAGGAAAAATATAATAAAATAACAATATTATTTCCTTCTATTTATCATTCCTGGATTTAATATTCAAACACTGGAAACAAACTAAGCAAAAATATAACAAAAATAGCAGTATTATTTCCTTTTATTTAACATACGTGGCAGTAAAAGGTACAGAAAGAAACATGTTATTAATAAAGAGCTCATGTGAGGTCTACTGAATCTCAGCTGTGTTTGTGTAATAAGTTCAAATAATGAACTTTATTAGCACAGTCAAGTGGCATATTAGATGTCAGTTAGAGTCTTCTAAGGCACTGATATAAATGCAAAACTTGCCTGCTTGGTTTTATGGACCCTATTATTTCGTTTCTTTATATCCCAGGTTTGAGTAAAATCATTTTTACTTGTTTTCTCATATTGACTTACTTCACTTACCATCACTTTTCTGTTTACATTCATGTTGTAGAAAATTGCTATATTTTTCTTTTCTTAGAGCTCAATAGTATTCTGTTATGTGTATGTAAATTAATCGGTAGTGTATTGCCCATCCTTTCTCTTAGTTATTTTATACCTTCAGATATTATATATATATCCTTAATTAATTTTCCTTTAGTTTTCAAGTATGATATGAGATGCTTGGCAACTTTCACTCTTTTTCATGGCTATACAGTTTTTCTGGCATAATTTGTTGATGGCATAAAAGTAGTAGTACAGTGAAGCCAAAATGGACTTCATTTTTTTAATTGGACATAACTGCTTAAATACTAAAATTTCCTTACACCAAAACAGCATGAACTTCTTGGTTTAGTTTTTGTTTTAGCTGAATGAACTCAATACCATTCCTAATTATTAAAAATGCTATGCAGTCACTATATAT